CTATCTATACACAAACTCTCAATAAAATGACATTCCAAGAGAAATAATTCATGAAATGTTTTATATAGAAATGAAAATTGTTTTTGAAGTTATTGTGTTACCCATAAAAAATTCAAAAGAAAACGCATTTCAAGACGTTCTTGTTTTTTTCAAACATGTTTTTGCTAGAACATTTGCATGCTTTATAAAATGCGTTTTTCATGAATAAAAATGCCAGGTGTCCTAGTGCAACGCGTTTTATTGAAACACGTTTGAACGTGTTTTATTTTATTAAAAACGCAGAAAGCAAATCCATAACGCGTTCTATAAAGTGCGTTCTTCCTGAGTCGAAACGCATTTAAATCATTGAATATATTTTTTGTTGCGACGATGAATAGATTCAAACTTTGGATATATGAATTGACTTACTTGATGCAGTTGAATCATGCTTACAGTTTAACATTACAATGATTAAGCGTCTATTCATAGTGAATAGAAGAAGAAATTTTGTATTTTATTCAGCGCTTTCCGAAGTTGCGAAATACTTTTCTCTGGTTTTCCATATCAAGAATACTATATATTATATAGCTAATTTCAATATTTTCTAGATTTAGCATTTTCTTTTCAATTTATTTTTAATATAAATTTGCATTAATTTAAATTTAAAATCAATTTAAATTATGAGAAGTTACTTTCAAATTAAATTAAAACTTATTTCAAATAAAATATTTTTAAAATTATTATTTGCTTTAAATAAATTTTCGTAAATGTAAATTGCCTCCTCCCTAATATTTTCTGATAATAAATGATGATGTTTTTAAGTTTTCTTTTTTGTTTTGTTTTTAACTATGTGAATATTTTGATTTTCAATATAATCTAGATAATTAGTGATCCTTTCATTTTTTGTTTCATCACTAGATGAAATACTGACGAAAACTTCTAAATAGCATATCTGTATAAATATTTAAGCTGTCAGGAGAGAGGAAAAGAACACTAAACTATTATCTAAACAAAATATAGTAAAATAAATAAATAAACAAATAGTGTATGTTCTAGAGGTCTCAATGGACCGATCCATTGAGATCTCTGGTATGTTCATTCTTTTATAATATATTTTTGTTTAAAAACGCGAATTTGGTATACAACTTAAATTTTAATTTTGAAAACTCAAAAATGAAATGAAAGCTGCAACACTACTATTCTTTTATTTGATCCTTTGAAGTAATTTGACCGAAGTACTTTTCGGCATTCTGCATATAATTCGCAGTTAGCAGAAGATTTTTTCTGCGTAAAACATTTCGTCTTTTTCTTTATGAAATTTTTCTAACCACAGTAGCATTTTGGTTTTCTTTCCTATTTGATAATATTAAATATAGTACTATTTATTGTTACCGTTACATTCATATTGATGAAAGTGACAGTTGTTGAAAACGTATGTTATTATGAGTGTGAATTTTTTTTCTATTCGATATTCTAACTACAGTCACAAAGTCAAATGAAACATTTTTTTAAAGATATACTTTTTGGTTGAGTAAAAATAATTTTTTAACCTACACACTCTTTCTTGTTTAAAACAGTCAGCATTTTGGCACAGATGGGGTGTGGGTGTGGACGTTCGTCTTCCCATCACAGCCACAGTCACATCCCAAAACCACACCCACACCGGCACATCCACACTATTTTGCTGACTAATTCAGACATTCATAGCAAGCTTGGTTCTTACCCCTCCTAAACGCTAAACCAAAAGCAGTGTTTCTCATGCACACAGCTACGGAACACAATGTATGAAACTGAGTGAGAGAAGCAACAGACAATTCACGATAAAGTCCATGAGACTGATGGGACACTGTTAAAATGTACCGTGCACTTTACAGAGGAACTCGCTACTACAACATATAACAACAACAACAACAAGACTTTAGTCAACATGGCTACATCTGTGATTTAACAGCAGATGCACAGATAAACACAACCTAGCCTGAACGTAATGAACTATGCATGACCCCTACTTCTAACTGTTTCTTCTTAATAAAGCATACAAAACGAGTCACACATCACTTATATGTTATCCCACTGGCTCTAGATATCATATCTGCGATACCGATAGATGCGTATAGCATGCCATGACCAACCCACAACGAAATATTCAATTCTCAAACCCATGTCTCCACAAATATTCGAAATATAAACCATCTTATAAAACTCGTAAACAAGATCGGATCGCATCATAACTGCAAAATAAGCATACCCATCACCTATCGTAATATTTTTGCAAGCGAATAGAACACAGAAAGGTTTTCCCCATTGCAAAAGAGACACAATCGATTGTTGAAAAAATGACGATATTCTAGGTATGCCTATAAGACTTCAACGATGAACTTTGACTTTCTTGAAAAGACCATATTGCAATTCAAGTTTATATTTTCTGCTAAGAATTAAATTCAATTCCTATTATATCAAAAACCATGCAATATTCTGAGTGTTTAAATTGTGACGACGAATCATGGAAATTACATTATGCTATAGAATTTTCAAACAAATTTTCTCTGTAATTCAACATTCTACATGTTCAAACTCCATGTGTCGTTCGATAATTCCACACAAATTCTATTAATCGAAGCCATCTGATGAGTCCTTTCGCAGGGATGAAATCGCGATCATGATTGCTAACTAAAAATATACCCACTATAAATATATCTATCCTTTCATGAACTAGTTCTTTTGAACTATTGTCGGATTCTTTTTAAAATGCCAGTCACCATTTTTTGAGCAACTCTTCACCATTGATAGCTATCGAGTTCGAGTTTTAGCCATTTGATAGAGCAGCACGGGTGGTATCTATCTATATGAGACTAGAGTCCTGCAGCCCTACCCTACCCTAGGGTAGGGTAGGGTACGACTCTCGTAGGGTAGGGTAGGGTAGGGCTAGGGTATCATTTTGAAAAGTGTAGGGTAATTCAGGGTAAACTTTTCATTATGTCAGTCTGGTCTGTTTAAACGCCCGATGTCTGACAACCTCTAGTATCGAACAATATCTTCTATTCATAGGAGAATAATGAGAAAATACCTATTGGATGATTACTTCGAGTCATTCATTAATAAACGACAACAGCTGTTTATGTCTTTCTTTTTTCTTTGTCGATATTGTTTTTAATATTCGTGGTCCATGTAAATTCTTCCCCACAATAGAAGACCTCCATGAAGGAATGATGCGTCGGACGTAATAAATGACCTCCTTTAAGTAATTAATTTCTCGAAAAATTGTAATTGTAATTAGTATATTTGCATCAATATATGACTAATTTTCAGGGTTTTTAGCTGAGAATTTTAAAAGAATAAGGTCAGCCTTATTTCTGGACTTTTAAAAACCTAAAAATTTCTGTCCAAATCCTCAAGAGCGTTTTGGTTTTTTGAAGAGCCTTTTTAATTAAAAATTACGGAAATCAATGGGACACAATAGAAAACTCTCCTGAAAACTTTGCATGCTTTGACATAATAGAAGACCCGGGGTCTTCTAATGCGTACGAGGGTTTAGTACTATTTTTCTTCTTTTCATATTGTTGATAATATTCGTGGTCCATGTAGTACTATTTCTCTGATTTTCAGATTACCTGTGATATTCTACGTATACTATTCTTGACATTTGTAAAATTTAACTTCACCATTTCATCAATAAATAATGAAATCATGCACAGCATACGGTTACTGTAATTTTTGAATTTAGTAGGGTAGGGTAGGGCTAGGGTACGAAAAAAAAGTGCAGGGTAGGGTAGGGTAACGAAATTCATACCCTTGCAGGACTCTATATGAGACTCATTAGGATCAAATACGTTTTTTATGGTGAATATTTAATTGATAAGAGCTTTCGTTATCAATTTTCATTAGTTTTCATAGAGACCTAGGCCTACATTACACCAAGATGTAGCTCGGAGGGCATTCTATCTGTGATAAAATTTTCAGCTCTTTCTGTCATTGTTTCCAATACAATAGTTCGTTAAAATCCTGAGATTTTGACGCAAATTCAGGACTCTTTGAGCTACATCTTGGTGTAATGTAAGCCTAGATCTCTATGAAAACTAATGAAAATTGGTAACGAAAACTCTTATCAATTAAATATTCACCATAAAAAATTTCTTTGGTCCTAAAAAGTCTCATATAAATAGATGCCATCCATGCTGCTCTATCGAATGGCTAAAACCCGAACTCGATAGCTATCAATAATGAAGAGTTATTCAAAAGATGGTGGCTGATATTTTAAAAAGAATTCGGCAATAGTTTCTTGAATGAGAATAGACTATGTATCTTGTTTATGATCTTATGATCATCTTCGAACAGATATAACATCAAAGCCTTCTGATGAGTTTTTTAGCAGGGACGAACTCTCGATCAAGGTTGCTAACTAAAAATACACTCACACTCTCTCGAACTTTTCTTTTTCAAGATTCTTTTTTTTTCGAGCTTTTTACACTATACCAAAGAAACAGAAAAGGAAAATACATATGATATGACGAAAAGAGGAAAATCACTACATATAGAAGAACGGGCACAAATGATAGATGACAACAGACGTGATAGAGAACTCGAACGAGCAACATCTGAAGCAGTGTCAATAACACCATCTAGCATGACATTGTGTTTCTTCCAAAAATGTTATTCCAGTCAATGTTACCATCCGAATCTGTTACAAGGTCATGTGCATAACCCAAAGCAGACATCAGAGAAGTTTTTCTTGTGATTACATGTTCAAGAATAATGACTATTTTATCTAATTCTGTTTCTATTGATTTCACCAAAAATAAAGTTCCTGAGAGTAATAGCACTTCAGCTTCGTTTTCATACTCTGAGATACAAGGCAGTTCACTTGATAATTTTCCAAGATTGATTGCCGTGTCACATTTTTGAGAAAAATTGAACACCATCAAAACACTCTGTTTTTCATCATTCACATATAAAGTACCGGTAAATCTCGCAGCTACAGCACGATCTATTGAAGTGAAGTAGAATGTGTTGGTTTCAATCACTTATTTATTTTTCAATGGCCATCGATATGCACCTAGATCAACTGTTGTCATCTTAAGACCACGATAAGAAAGACCTTGGAAATAACACGGTTTTAGTTTACTTAATAATACCATAATTGAAGTTGATAGTTTTGGGGCAAGAAGTGCACGATAGAGTGGTGTTTCAAGAGTGTACAGTCGAAGTAGATATTCCGGTCTGTTTTGGCTGAAAGCTTTAGCGACCAATGCCAAATATTTCTGATATTCTTTGTGCTGTTCAGGTACGTGCTCAGCAACTTCACTTTCGAGACCATCTTTGAGATCCGATTCACTGATAATGTAATTCTTAAATTTCTCAAGCATTTTCCGTCCAATTTTTATTTGAGCTAAACTTTTAAACTTGTTTTTGAATTCTTTAAGCAACTCGACATATGCTGAATCAGGATGACACTTTAATCATTTATCTTCCGGTATTTCTTTTTTGTCAGCAGCATCACCATCTTTTTCTCCTTCATCCTTCAGTGCCATTTTGAATATATTTTGCTCACCAGGTGTGGGTGTGGGGTGTGAGTGGATGTGGGGTGTCGGTGTGGGTGTGTCTAATGGTAAGGTGGAAGTGAAGATTTGCCTCCACACCGAGCATCCACACCCATTCACACAACCCACACCCTAACTAATAAATAATGAGAGATCAGGTAAAAAAGATAAATGATTGAGAACATTGATAAGATATTTTGATTTAATATTATCAAAAATAAGTATTTCTAAACGAGTGAAATTTGATGAGATACGTACTGGAGAAAAAAATAACATCAACAATAAATGGATTCGATAAACTTAATGATGTAATTCGATGTTTATTAGGCATGATAATATGTCTATGATAACTTTGAAAAATTGATTTCGACATAGATGAAACATTGATTTTTTTGAGGAAGTGTTGAATTCGTAAGAAGACTTTGTAAACGTATATTAAGATTGTAAAATGCTTTATATACATCATAAACATCAAGATAATTGAAAATTTCATAAAAAAGTTTCATTTTAAAGATCTTCAATAAGTGTAAAAGATGGTCTTGATGAACCAAAAGACAAATGAGTAGATTTAACAAATAGAATTTAAAGAAATATTTACTTTTGATTGACCTCTTTGACTCTTTTATTAACTTCTTTTTCTTGTTAACATCCCAATAATCAAAAATAATTGTTCGTCGTTGTGGTTTTGTTTGTTCCATATTATGATTAAGAACAAGAAATTCAAAAAAAAAAGTAAATGAGTTACAACACTAAACGTAAAACTGTTCGTTAAATACATGTTATTTAGCGAAAGAAGTGCACTTGTAGTATGTCATTCTTTTACTAGTCTATACTCTTACGTAAAGCAGAAAAGAAAGAAAGAAAAAACTATTCCAATGTTGTTTTTTTCCACGGAATAAAATAAAGTTGGATTTTCTCGACATTACTCATAGATGTCAATTTTTGACTAACATTTTACATATGCACGAAAAAAACAGAAATTTTATATTCATTTCATAAGGAAGAACTACATTTCTATCTGTTTCATAAGACGATGGGGATTAAAGCAAAATTTATCGTATATTGGGCTTTCTACTGAAAAACAAGAGAGAAAATGAAAGACATTTGACTATTCCATCAATAGTTTTCAGTTAGAATTCTTTTTAAAATTAAACTTTTTGGCTTTCGAGTACATCTTTGACACGTAATAAGAATAAATGACAAGTAGTACTATTATCTTTCGTTAATAAAAAATTCAAATCCAAGTAAGAAAATACGGACCACGTCCGACCCGAACTAGAAAAATTCAGCCATCGGATTTGATCACTAGAATCATTGACCTCTAAAATAGATTCAAAATTGTTTCTAGGTAACCAGACATTAGCAACCAAAAATCTGCAATCATAAATTTCATTATTGTTCCCAAAGACTTTATTAGTTTCAGCTGGTTGAGTGTAGGTGTGGGTACGGATCAGAGACCGAAAACGAGTCGAGTTAAAGATTTTGAGAGATGTGTCGAGTCGAGTCGAGTCCAGTGATATCTACTCCCGAGTCGAGTCGAGTCGAGTTTGACTCGATTGACTCGACCTTTTGAAGTTTTTTGTAATTCTTTCTGTTTTTTCTCACCAAGAATGTTAGTTCATTTTGACTTCATCAAAACACAAGGGGGAAAAGCTGATTCCGTGATTCCGTGATTCCGTGATTCCATGTGATTCTATGTGATTCTATGTGATTCTATTGATTCTATGTGATTCCACTGATTCCGTTGATTCCACGTGATTCCGTTGATTCCACGTGATTCCGTGTGATTCCATGTGATTCCACGTGATTCCGTGTGATTCCACATGATTCCACTGACTCTGGAATCACTATGAATATCATTGTCTTTCTCGACTGTGATACCGTCACATCAATAGAAACATCATAGAATCATTAGAGAGATGAGTTCTGAAGATTCCTGATCATTCCAATTAATAAGGGAAACAGCTGACTCATCGTCGTAGGAGTCAATAAGTGGAGCACAAACAATGCATTCTCGATATTGCTGAATCTTAGACAAAAGTAAATTATTTTTCATTTCACAACAATCAAATCACACATTGGACCGATATCTAACCGGCCAATGAGGTTTGTTTCATTATTTTATGACGGTCAATCAAAGGATTACAGACCATAAGTGAACTTTCTCGCCCGGTAATGATCTCAAAATGTTACATCTAGTTGAAATCAACATTAAATCGTGAGAGAAATTGGATTACTGTTGCTTCTCGATTTTTCATTATTTTTCATCCTGATTACAACTGCTGCCTCGTTTTCTAAACGGGAGCTCATTGTTAATATATACAGTTTGTGAAAGCTCGATGGTATGGAGAGGAAAACTCTGAAATATGGAATATCAGGAAGCAGAAGATCGTACAGATAGTAGATTTCAAGAAGTATGAAATAGTCTGAGTGTTCAAGTAGCTGACTTAAGGTTTCATTTTGCTTGCTGTACCAAACGCAAAAGATAGCCACCTTATACATATTAGTATCAACTCTTCCTAAAAAGTTGAGGACCACACGATATTCTATAAACTCCGTTAGGGGTATTGCTATTTGTGACTCTCAAGACGGACCAAGGATTGTGATGGAACAACAGCATAACCAAGAGTACGAGAACTACTTTACGGGACTGGAACTACATATTTCCGGCTATTCGCGTTGCCGTCCTTACCAGTTAGGCTAAAAAATGCATGCATTCCCTGTTGTATGCATGGAGAGAACGTTCCGTAAGAACTACTCTGTCGCTCATACTAAGAGCATCGCGGACGATGTTCTACAGCTTGCCCACACAGAATACCAAAACACAAAAACATGAATATATAAGGATGATGTTGCATTGGCTTCGGGCTAGTGCATCACTCTGAGAACCCGACCTTATGACTTACGAGCGCGACTAAGTAACATAAAGCCATTGAATGTCAATGAAATGAAATAAAATATAGTTTTTTCGTTGAAATCGAACCTGACAGGTGATAGCTGAGCAGAAATTCTAACCACTTAAATTAAAAAAGGCATCAATTCTTCATTTTAGCTGTAGAAGAGAGCACTCCATGCCTATCATAGATGCTTTTAGAAATAGAAGTTGTCGACTCTCTACATTTCCCTATTTCTTACTGCCTAGTTGCAATTTGTCTGGCACTAATTGAGTTCTTTGATATGCTATTAAAATGTACGCTTTTATAAATCCAAAAGAATCCGATAGTATTGTGATTATTGAGTTCTGGGAAACGATAAGTAGAATCCGATTCAGTCTACAATTGCTAGGTTATAAAATTCACTACAACCTCATGTTTCCAAGGAATAGCAAACCAAAGTTAAATTTTCACTGTAAACAGAGTGTATTGATCTGTTTCATTTTGGCTAATTTTTATTCGAAATAAAGATGTCGAAAAAATCAATTTACGAAAAGTGTGGAACAAGAGAAATCGCGATACATCAAAAACTTTCTCTTTTTGTGTACTCAAAAAGTGAGTACACTCTAGAATCGATCAGTATGTCCGTCCGACCGTTAACACGATAACTTTCGAAAGGAGAGTCAGATCATGATGAAATTTTCTACACAGTTTAGTCTCATCAATGTCTCGGTCGAGTTCGAAGATGAGCCTGATTGGAGGAGCTCTTCCTGAGTTATTGCAAAAATACTGATTTTTCCCTATGGTCTCTTATGCGAAAATCGACCTATACCCGCTTTCATAAAAAACTTTTCCTATCATAGTCAAAATAAAACCCCAACTATTATATACCATTCGATAGAGAATTTCACGAGCTACAAAATGGTATATAAAG